ACGCGCGCGCGCGCGGGCCGCTCCCTTCGCAAATAGGCTACCCAAAAAATCTCGAGAACGGGAACTGTTCGGAGAAATAGAGTTCAACTTGAAGTTAATTTTCCTGAGCGTTCGGAGAAATAGAGCAGGCCAAAATGTTTCTCTCTCTCTCTCTCTCCCCCCCCCCCTTCTCTCTCTCTCTCTTCCTTTTTCTTTAAATTTTATATATAAGAACAACGCCCCTCACTCATGATACTGATTGAAAACTGATAATTTTTGTTTTTATACTTAGTTAGTGTCCCCTTGTGAAACATTATCAATTCAAGTGTAAGTCCGTTTTCTCTTGTTGTTAAGTGATCGATCCAGGTATGTGGCAACTTGAAATCACAACCGTGTAAGTTCTGTGTATTGTAAAGTAATGTAACATGACTGAGAAATTAAATCGGAGTGAACTGACCAACCAAATGAGTTATTGTGAAGTCGCAATTTAGCTAAAATGTTGATGGCAGAGCAAGTACTATTCAAATTAAAATTACAGTAGAACACGCCTATAGCGGAACTTTTGGTTTCAGGAGAAAAATCCCGCTGTAGGCGAGTTCCCGCTATAAGGGTGCAAGGGGGATATTACCGAAAATGTTCTTTAAAATCCACATGATTACATCCCTTCCTTATCAATAAATTTTGCATTTTAGATTAGTCTTCCCTTTCTTGTCAAGTTCGTTGATTATCTTGGCCTTTAATTCGAGTGAAAAGCATTTCCTTTAGTCTTTGTTGGAAGCAGGGGCGGCTCGTGGGTCTAGGAAGTGGACATGCACAATTAAGCTATCGCATGCTGACGATAGTCAAGGGCAAAGTAAAATATGAGACGTTCAGAGACTGTGCATAATTTTAGGATCTTTGGGTTGGGGACAGAGGATCTCGTGCTTTTATTTTCATTCTTTTTACTTGTCGCTTTCATTTCTAGTACTAAATTTGTTTGTTAGCTAAACATCAATTTCGTTCATCCTGTATTGGAACTGAACGCTCAAGTAATAACTTTCACTACTCCACTATAAAACCATTCAAAGGCATAACTCATAGGACGGTCACGTTGACCTCCATCAAGTTCACGGTCACAGAGTCACTTAAAATAGTGGCAAGACAGATAATGAACCAATCGCAATTCACTTGAACACCCCGGGGCTCACATAATATTGGCAAAGAATAGCGTACGGTCTATCCCGTTATTTTTTAGACTGCATACTGTGGGCTATGTTTCGGCACTATTCGGCAGGAGCACATTTGAGATGTGCCGTCTTATTACATGTAATATTAATGTACCACCAAGCTCGCTACGAGTGTCGTCATCGCTTGGCTTATCCCCAAGAGCGATTTATACTTTTATAAGTCAGGTTACACTATTGAATATCCTATTATGTTTAGGTAAAGCACGTGGACTTTGGCTTGGCATAGTAGATGTATTACGGCGCTATGGACACAGAAATGACAGTTAAGGCGCCAGTGAGGACCTTGTTTTGATATATATAATAATATAATATTAATATTTGGCTAGTGTTTCTTTCTGGCTTCTTACTTTTATGTTATTATTGTGGGTGTTTTACATACAATGTAATAGAACATTTTAAAAATTTGGGCGGCACTGCACGACCGTGCTCTATAGACGAACCGCGCCTGGTTGGAAGCCATATGTTTCTCGGTTTGTTGCTTGTGCTCTCTGTCTCTATCGTACCGCTAGGCCTACTGTAGAACTGGTGAAGTGCATGCGTGCGTATGCTTGAGCATCAACGATTGCAATTCAATGAATCAGGAATCACACACTACACGCTCTCCTCTTCTTTTACTTTTTGGCCTAGTCTAGGGCTAGGGCTATTAGATCTACATCACGTTTGGGGTGGTTCACGTAACGCGTCTCTCCCCACCATCTATCTCTCTGCAACTCTCTCTAGGCCTACCGCCTGCCCCACCTCACTCATCACAGGGCTAGCCAATCACAACGCTGACTGCCTGTTTTGGGCCTGCCTCCCCGCTAGAGCTAGCTCGATCTCTCCTGCTGTATCCGAGTTCGGGACTTTCCTTGTCCCTCTATATCCAAGCATAAGTAATTGAGTTTACATAGGAAGAAAAAGAGGGATTCCGGTAAGGTCCCGCTGTAGGGATCGGGCGCCGCTATAGTCATGTTCTACTGTATTGCCTTTCCACTGCCCAGATAAAGTCTACCGGGCTGAAGGGACCCCCCCCCCCCCCTACATTAAAAAAACAAAACAAAAGCATAGTCTACCCCTTAAAAACAACAAAATATTCCATTAAGTTTAATGACAAACCTGCAGCTAGGTGAAGTTCATCAAACAACAGCGCCAAAGCAGTCGGTGAAGTTCATGCATGATGTAATGTTTATACTTTTTATTTCATAGACGTAGATCTATCTAATGTAAACGTTTGGTGCAAAGATAAGAGCGCTTTTTGTTTGTTTGAGTAAAGATAAAAAAAAACAAAAAACCGACACGATAAACTGTATTGTGTGGAGGTTTGAGAGAATTAAAATACACAAACTTCATACTCCAAGGCTGTCTTGAGTCCTAATTTTAATACTGCAGTGCTCTTAAAAATGTTCATAATGTGAGCGCCATCAATTGTGAAGGCCCCTACGTGTCGGCGTCTTAAACTTAAAGATTATTTTAAAAAATGCACGTTCATTCATGTGTTCGTCTGTCCGCGTTAAAAATAAATTATATTATTTCATTTTTATCAATTTACGTTTGTCCACGAAACT